CCTGGTACCGTAATGTTTTCATTTTTTTAGTACCGACTTGGTACCGAAGTACCGGGTCTTTTGACAACACTAAGTGAAAATATAAAATGAAACATGAGTTTGCTTAAACAACAGTGATAGTAATATTAATATTAATCACAGTCATTACATATTAGAATAACGAAGCGATAATCATTCACAATAAGACCAACAACTGGGTTTTATGTATATACACTGAACAAAATTATAAACGCAACACTTTTGTTTTTGCCCCCATTTTTTTTAGCACCTTAAATTTTACACATTACAGCTCAGTTCAAACTCATGAATAATTCATTAGCATGTAAAATTGGAATATTAATAATAATAAACCTATTATTATTAATAACCCCTAACATGGGTCATAATAATAATAATAATAATCATTATGATTGACCAATCATTAATAAATTAAAATTATGAATTTTGATTTTATGTTGACTTTGTAATAATATGTTTAAAACAATATATGTAAAAAAAAAAAACATAATCTTTGTCAAACTTATTGACATCCTTGGTAAATATGACCAAAGAAGGCTAGGGAAAAAATCTGCATTGTTTATGCTTTTTGTAGGGCTGCCCCCTAAAAGTCGACTAATCGTTAGTCGATCAGAAGAGGCTTGGTCGACCAAAATTGTATTAGTCGCTTAGTCGCAGAAAACAAAATTATTAATAATCCACATTGGCGAAGACACACAGATCGTTAACGGCTGGTCTATGTGGTAGGCTAATACAGTATATTGGGCAGGACATCCAAACACTTGCCTATCATCGACCTCAAATATGGCTTATCATCTGAAATATGTATTAGCGTAGCGAGCTCACTGCATGACAGACGGAGGCGCCGGTGCACTCACTTGCTCTTAAAATAATCCCTCATTTTTGCTCATACAGATAAGAGTTATACATCTTTCAAATTTGTAAAGACTCTACGTTTATATTCTCAGATTATGTAATCCGTATGAAACATGCATGCGCATCACTACAGCGGAGATGATGAGTCAGTGTCGCCAACTTCATCTCTTAAACTGAAAACAAAAAAAGCACTAGTTTATCAGTGAATTATTAAAATGTTAATGCAGCCTCCTTACTGTTTTTCCCTGACACATTCATAATCATTACTTCTGCTGGTGCGCTGTGGCAAGCTTTATGAGTTTGCTTGAGCGCTTATTAGGCCATGTAGGCAATTAAAGGCTCATTATAATGATTTAAATGGTTTATTAATAAACGTGTGATTAGTCGACTAATGCTTAAAATGAACGACTACTAGTCAACCAGAAAAATCCTTAGTCGAGGGCAGCCCTAGCTTTTTGCACAAATTTGAAATGTCAAATTTAATATGCTTCTGAGATATTTTACCCATAAGAATTTCTAAGGGTGCTAATAATTGTGGCCAATGTGTACTGGAGAAAAACATTTTTTTTTTATCGAATTTCCCCCCCATTTTCAGTTGTTTTACGTCAATGAAAGGTTAGATTTTTGTGAATTTTATGAATGAAAGATCAAAAGAATAAACAACATAGATTTATTTTCACAGCCTTTTTTGCTCATATTTTCCAAGTGTGCCAGGACTGACCAGGATGGTGTTTAGCACATTAAATTTTACACAATACATTGCAGTTCATGAAACTCCAGAATAATTAATTATCCTGTAAAATTGTAATATTAATAATAATTATTATAGTAAATAATTGCTAACTAACTCATTTGACTAAATAACTCATTTTACTCACATTGTCAGAGTGGCCCAATATACGTGTATATTCAATATCTAAATTAATACAAAATTATAATTTGCCTCATTGTTAAGCGATGATAAAATCTCATGTAATTGTTATTACATAATGCTAAATTTTAAAAAAACTATGTTATTACATGAAAACTAAATAAGCAGTATAAATCAGACACTTCTGAATGTACTGTTTTTCCAGCATACTCAGTGTGCACCAAAATGGAAATGTACCAACAACAGCCACTATGGGCGTCGCCCCCACAAAAATCAGACCCCCCAGAAAGACATTTGATAATTCCTCCACTAGCACACATTTCCAACTCCGACCTGCACACACGCACATCTCTTCACCAGAAAAGCCTCTCATCTGTTACGAGGTCAGCTCATATCCTGCAGGTAATGACAGACCTCATCCCCGAGCCGAGCGGCCTCTGACGGAAAGAGCAGGGTGCATTAGGGTGGTTCTGAACCGAAGCGCCCTCTGTAATCTACCAGCAGCCATGGCCTTGAGTGCATACACCCACAACCAGGCTGGGCTGAGAGTCTTAACTGGAGGTTCTCCCATAACCACAGCCCTAAAATAGGGATGGAGCCACAGTTAGAGAGAGCAAAAGCAAAGCACGGGTCCTAATCACACATTCCAGCTACCAATCACGTCAAACACAGTTACCTCTATCTATACAAGTGCTTCCCACAATTATTATGATTATCATTATCACACAGCTAAAGCCATCCTATATCAAAATAACATATCACTTCACCAAATGCCTGTCAATCCATTAATGGGTGGATGGATAGGTAGTGTTAAAACCAGAGCTGAGCACAGAGCCGATGTTCTATAAATGACCTACAAGGGCACACACACACACAATCGTATCGTGCTGCTCTGGCAGATTAACTGAACAAAAACCAAATCCTTCTCTCTCGTTGCATTCATATTTCCCTGTGTACCAGCGCAGGACAACTAATCTCTCCATGTTAATGCAGGCTGTTCACAGAGCACTGCCAACATCAGCCAGCACACACATACACACAGGAGAGAAGTCTGCCTCAGAAATGGTAAGGTAAATATTGTTCTTCAGGCAGATTTAAAGGGACAGTTCACCTAAAAATTAAAGGCTGTCATTATTTACTCTCCCTGATGACTTTCTTTAGAGGGAGTTTTTTTTTGAGTGTGTGTTTTACCACACAATTTTACATGCAGTTACAATAAACAGACACTGAAGATTCTAAGGGGGTGAAAAAGCACCATATTCAGCACCAGTATATCTAAGATGTAAACAGACACGCACACATTCATAAAACATACAACATATCACGGCACTGTGCATATGCATATTTTTGAATCCGACTGAAAACACAGTCAGATTCAAAGGTTTAAAAGGCTCAGATCTTCCTGTTAAACAGATTATTTAAAGGGACAGTCAAACAAACGGTTTTGGGGTTGACTTACAAAATATTTTTGTCCAGTATACTATGGAAGTCAATGGGACCCCGAATTCATGCTGACCAACATTTGGTCATGAGCGAAAATAAATACAAATTTTGGTAAACTGCCCCTTTAAGATCTATACCACTCCTTTCAATCTGAATGAGATTTAATTTGAATCAAGCTAATTCGGATTGACTGATGAAGGCTTTTTAGTCAGATTGAGCCATAAATCTGATTATTAATAGATTTATAGGATTGCATGTCAACATATAGGAGCTAGTGAGTTGAATTAGAGAACCAAATTAATCAATCAATGAATCAATCCGATTTGTTTTGCGACTCAAACCACCTCATTTATGATTTGTTAATGAATCTGACATTGCTGTTTGATTCATAAGTAAATAATGGCATTGATTTTGGTGTGTTCCTTGCAGAGCACTATGGCATGGAATATCACGAGTCATATGGACCAAATTTATGATAGTTTTATTATGTTTATAAAACAAAATGCATGAATAGGTAGCAGCATCAGCCACTAGAGGCATCATCCCGCCAAAACTCACTTGAATTTGAAAAATCAGGACTGAAATCAAAATCAGTCAGACTCAAATCAGCTGATTCAAATGAGCGATTCACTGAATCAGACATTACTGCTTGGTTATAAGGTTGAATTTTGATGCTTTCCTTGCACAGAATAATCAGAAAGGCTTGGAATTCTGAACACAAATCTTATGAACCATGTTTATGATACTTTTATGATGTTTATGAAACGGAAGTACATAAATATGTACCAGCATCAGCCATTAGGGGTATAATCCTTTAAAATCGCATTTGATTATTTGTGAATGAATCATTTGGACTAGTTTTGTAAATCAAATCAGCCGACTCAACTGAGCGATTCATTGTATCGGACATTACTGCTTTATTATCAGCTTGAATGTTTCTTTGTTCCACCCATAGCACTATCATATGGCTTCAGAATGACTGGTAACATAGTGCACGAGTCAAACAGACCATTGTTTATGATACTTTTATGATTTGTTTGCATCCTAAATAAAAC